GGATCCCTCTCATTCAGCGGACAGTGGCTTGAGTTTTGACCCTCTCACTGCTCACGGCACTGTTTAAGCATCCAATCCATATCGCCATATCTACCCATGAAGTGCACTGACAGTTCTGCACATGCTCTGGAATATCTGTGGGTCCATTTAGGAGAGCTATCCAGACTCAGGATGCGTTATCACCGCACTGATGAGTCAGCGTCAAGGGGAGACCGTTAAAAAGACTAAATGGAGATGCTAACCATAATATGCTGAGAGTTTAGTCAAGAAGCCGGGAATGAATAATACAAAAGCAGAAATCTACAAACTGTGAAGCAGATAACTCCATCCATCTGAATGTCAGATGCCTCATTCCTCATGAAACGGCCAAATGGTTGATATTTGAATAACTTCAACGTTACAACCGACAGAAAAGCTGTAGTTGACTGAAATATGTTATTTCATATAAATATGTAATTTCTCTCAGGATTTGACACACTCTTTATTAAAGGGATAGTTCACACATAAATCTGTCTTCATTTACTCATCCTTATGTCGTTTCAAACCTGTATGACTTTCTTTTGCAGAACATTTCAATTCATTGAAATGTTTCAAATGTTTTTGTCTAAACAAAGAATATCAAAAGCGTCCAAAACAGCACTGGAAACAGCATTGTATGGAAACTCAATAGGGGCCAGTGCTGTTTTGAAGCCAAGAGTGCTGTCTTATCTTTTCCTATGTGTCTTCAAAGAATAATACAAAAACGAATGTTTCTGTGGCTAAGTAGCTACCAAGGACTCAAACACTCAAATCCTGCACTGCTATTTCTTAGTTCAGATGTGGATATTTACTTGTCACTGGCTTATTTTTTCCATTATGTAGGTGGGACAACAAGGACACACAATTCTAGTGAGGAAAAGAGATGAAAATAGCTTGGCAATCAACACCTAAAAATGGCTATACAAACAAACAACAAGAAAAAGAAAAAAAGAGATAAATGTACAAGCAGCAGCAATTGTTAGTGTGAAATTTCAAGCAATTAGTAAAATCAATATATCTGTAAAGCACACACACACAAACTTTTGTACAAAACTTCTGAGATTTGTAAGGTCTTATTAGGTTTATATTGAAGCTGAATTGTATATATACAGTATATATATTTTTCAATGTTAAAACCCTTTTTCCAATCCTAGCCTAATAGGCAGAGATGAAAAGTATAAACATTGCTCTGTTTGTTTATGCATTCCAACCAGTTTGAACCAGCAACAGTGAATCAACCAATCACGTAAGTTTAGGGCGGAGCAATCTGTTTGCTCGACCAATAGCTAATGTGGAAACCTGTAAGAAAAGAGTCATTATTTGTGATGCAGAAATTACACATTTCAGTTTTAAATCCAGAGCTTTTTTGTTCAAACAAGGTAATAACACAGCTTATTTTTAATGTTTAGCTGTACAAAAGCAGTCAGTTATGCTGCTTCATGTTGCAATCAGGTATTTGTTTTTATTTTATTTCAATTTATTATCAAAATCATAAAAACACCAGTTTGCAGCACAAATAGTTATATGATTTATTGCACTTGTTATTCTTCTAATTATTCACCTAAAGCAGCAATATGAATCAGAACTCTGGCACATTCACAGGAAACAGCTTACTTCCGCGTTGCACAATAAAGGGATAGTTTGAAGCTCTAGGCCAGAGGTCGGTAAGAGGTCGCCAGATCTCTCACCCTTTACTAACAAATGATCTATTACACAAATTAGACATCACTAGAGATCAGCAATTCCTTTGTTGTAGAGCCTACATAAGCTCTAAATATACATATAAAATAATAATAAATTTTCTGTACCGGCCAAAGTCCGTGTTCAGTGCACGTTCAGAGCTGTTTGCGAGAGTCACGAGCAAACCATTGACGTTTCTATGGTAACGTACAGCTCTTGCACTCAGATTCGTAGCTTTGTGGTAATAGCGAAAAGAAAGATTTTTTGAACAGCAGAAAAAGTGTAAAAGTATGTAAAAAAAAAAGTGACAGGACTGAAACATATACTTATGTTTTATACTTTGAAACATTTCGCCGGTTACTTTTGCTTTTTCTGCACAGCTTTCTGCGGGTGGGACTGTTAGCATTCACATAAATATGGTCGGCACCGTGCATTATTTTTCACTCACTCAGTCTCTTACACACACACACGCGCGCAGAGAGAGAGAGAACTCTGAAGAGAATTCCTCACAGTAAAAGCCCTGCACAATTTTTGATGATTTGTTGCATATTTGTGTATTTTAGTTTCCATGGTCCTAATAAAGTCCCTATTATTAAAACGTTATTGAAAACACACACACACATATACATATATATATAATTTTTTTTTTTTATTACTTTGGCTCTTTCGGAAAAATGCAGTAACCGAAAATAAAAAAAATGGCTCTTTGGTCAAAAAAGGTTCCCGACCCCTGCTCTAGGTGGTAGCCTGCACTCCTCAGCACCCCAAGATTCAGACTCATTAAATTTCCAATGTGCCATCTTGCTCTCTTATTAACTTTGTAATTGTTTACAAGCAATGATAATACCCAGAGTCATGGCAACTGTCATGGCTGAGTGGACAGAAGTGATCTCCAAGCACCAGGCTGCCATATTAAACATCTACTCTCTGTCCAAAACCGAATTGAGAATGAAGACGAGCTATTTTTTTTTCTGCTCTGCCCTAATAGACAAGATATGTCTCGCTTGCGGGCATCACCGGTGTAAAGATCATTACACTGAAATGTACATTCAGGCACTATTACTTTAGGATGTAAAATTCAAGACACAAAAATAATCTATTATTTTTTTCAGTTTGTTCCATTTACAGTGCATTTATACTGTCAAGCAGCTTCTGATGGAGTGTTTTACAATGTGTATTATCACGTACAATAGTAGCGATGTTCTCTCCTGTTTCATCTGAGGATGAACCTTAAAGTTGAACATACTGTATATAAACTGTACAGACACTAGAAATGTAAAAATAATACCAAGTCAACACTAAAGTAAAAAAAATAATAAAACCACAGCAGTGCCTGGTCCCCATCCACTTTCACTGTATTAAAGCAGTGTTCTATTAAATATTTTATTCCATTCAAGAAAGCTAGTTTGCTGTAAGACTGCTGTAAGAAATTTGAACTTGCTTAAATACTGTTTACTTAAAAAAATAAAACGAGGAAACATTTACTTAATTGGGAAAATAAGAAAAAATGTCACTGCTTTAATTTAATATACTGTCTAGATATTACTAGTATTGGTATTTTGACAACCCCAAAAGATGTACCAAATAACAGGAATCTAGTACTGGAGAAAAGTGTAATACGTGTTTTTAAAAATGACATATAATTGGGTCAAATAAGCTCAAATTCAACTTTCATCAAGAAATGGATCCTCAGCAAAAAGGTTTTGGAGTGGCACTATACAGATGATATTTGAACTCCAGTGAAAGGGAGCACTGCACTTCCTCAGATGACTCATCTCTATCACCGTAGGAGAGTTCAGCAGGATGTAGCTCTCAGGGGAGATGGAGTCTAAAGTTCAGTATCTGGGTATTAAAGGAAGAGTGAGGCACGACCTGAGCTCCCTCCGCTGAGCTCAGACTGATGAGGGTTTAGCCATTTGGCCTGGATCAGCAGGTCAGGCCTGTACAGGTGATGAGCCCTCTGCCCAACACAGCCCTCGACACGCAAGGTCAGCAACCACCCGCCACCACTAATACCTGATTCCCAGAGGAATCCAGCAGGTAAAGGCCACGGCCATCCAGCATGAGCAGGAAGCGATCTAAAGAAGCAAACCTCTTTCCATCTTCCTAAATTGAATGATGGAAATGGCTTAAATGCAGTTTAACCTTCCTGATGAACGCCTTCAAAGTCCGAGGTCTCAAATCGGGATTGTATGGCATTCAGAGAGGCTTCTGGATAAGGGAAAAGCTTAACCAGGACCGATCGAATAAATTAGGCCGTAAGAACACAGAAAATGCAAAACAGGCCCTCGCATTGTCTGAATTAAACATTATTTTTGTCTATCAGCAGAAGGATGGGGCTGCTTTAATTAAGTTAAGAGTTGCCTGAGAGACAGTTTAACAGGAGGGCATTAAAGAATACCATAAACAAACAAAAGAAGTGGACAGATAATCCATAAGCAATTAATTAGGGGAAGAACTGTGTGGCTTCCGCACATATCAGTCACATTGAATAATTGCTGGAAAACAGAGAGATATTTATACACTGTCCCAGGTTAACAAGTCTGTACAAGGAGAGGAGGAATGAGATGAGACAGGCTCCCCTTCCTCTCACCGTCCTTCTCTCTCTACCGACTAAGATGCTGCAGCAGCTCACATGATGGTTGATAGTGATTTGCTATGCGTGATCTTTACTATTCAAGATATATTAGCTAAACCATCTGGAAGGTCAGGGAGGTAATGGCTATTGTATATTTTATGAAGGAAGCTGCAGTTAATCAAATGGTTGAAGGTGATTTTTGTGAGGGAGCATATCATGGTTTTGTTCCAAACCCTAGCGAGCTTCCTTGCTGTCTATACTGTATACGCAGACAACATCCTAACCAAAATGGAGTCTAACCAAAAATTAGCTTAAAACCCACTTCTTAAAGCTGAAGGTAGTAATTTTTCCAATATAAAAATGCTTTTTCTCATATTCAGAGAGAACTATAAGAAAGCCATTTGAAGGTTGTTTTCTGAAAAGTGTAACACTGTGGCTCTATTGTAGTAGCAAAACATTTCCAACCAGTTCGACAGCTACATTGACTCAACCAATAGTGTGAGATTGGGGGTGGGGATATTTGTTTGCCCGGCCAATGGCAGACAGGGGGCATGTCTGCAAAACCTGTGTGAAAACAATCACTATTTTTCTGTTTGATGCTAGAGGCACAGTACATTACACACTTAACCTTTCAAGAATGAAAGGGCAGAACTGGATTACCACAGTAATTTAGATCGTTTCCAGGAACTGGGTCAATAACAAAAGCACCTTGTGATGGATTTACCTGAATTTCCACCCCATAGCCCATGTAGACTGTCACGGTGTATGTACAGTCCACATCCGTATTGTACCAACTCCTGGCTTGCTGCGGTGTCTCTATGTAGCCTCCCGGTGATGTGAAATTGGTGCTGCACGGAGCTGCATTAGAAAAGGTAGAAGGACAGAGAGAGACAGAGAAAGTGTGCATCAATAGAGGCGAGCCTTTTCTCATTCTCTCCATCTCACTTCATTGCATTCCCTCCCATCTTTAATTGTCTTTCAAGGTTTTCTCATTTTCTGTCTGGATCAACAGGGTCAGTTTTCCTGCCCTGCTGTGTAGGAACATGTGGGCAATTCAGGTGAAATGGCAGGTGAGCGAATATTTTCTTGTAGCCTTGAGCTCTTTCTGCTCTGTCGGCTCCTTCATCTCCCTCTAGAGTTAAACGCCGCTGCTGTTCAAGAGATATGTTCTTGCTCCATATAAATTCATACGCTTGGCTTAGTTATTAGGGATGTGCAAAATTACATACTTTCATATTTAAACTGTCAGTTGGTTGTCTGAACAACTAGTTGGCTAGTGGTCTTAAGAAAGCCCTGTATAACTAGGCTGCATCACTTCTAATGGGGCCAATCAGATCCAAGTTTCTCATTATATGGACAATTGTGAAAATTAAATAAATAGGTTAAAGATCTTCAATAATAGGGATGCACTGCTATTAAAAATCTGACTGATACCGATAAACAGATGATTAATTTTGTTATGCCAGAAATTCAAATTTGTATACTAAACTATTTTATTTCAATAAAATATAAAAACTAAAACCAGTCACAACATTTTAACAACATACAGTGTGAAATTTGGATTTGCAAAAATTGAAGATTAACATTAAGTGAGTGTTATATGATGGCTAGAAGGTAATGGAAATGTAAGGTAACAGAAAGGATCATGAACTATTATATATCCAATATTTGATGGTACCAAAAAATTATAAAAATCTCTAATATCTGCTGATAATAGATATGGTGCCAAGATATTGTGCATTCCTATTAACAGAACTTTTTAAATAGTGCTATGATGTCAGGGGGCACTGATATGTCCAAATGTCCCCATGTAATACAAATAAAAATAATAATTAAATTAAATATAATACATATATAACAAATAAAGTACCTTAATTAAAAATAATAAATGTCCCTATATAATAAATTATAAAAATACTTAAATGTCTAAATTTAACTGAAAGTTCAATATACACAAATTGCACAAAGTATTATTCATATTTAATGACACAAACTCTTGCTTTCAAAAATAATTTCATAAATTAATAATATCATATTGTTTTCAAGCTTTTGTTCTGTGACTTTAAAGGGACAAACATGTAACCCATATTCATTTTAAAAATAAATTTTTGTAAACATTAAAGGGCTAACTTATGTTATATGGGGTTTCTGAACCCTAATTTTATTGCACAAAACTATCAAAGACCTCATGTAAGAAGGCAGCAAATGCAGTGGTATAAAACTACTTATTCAACTGACATCTCAAAACCCACATCTTTAGGCACAAGCAGGGCAGGTAAACCTCTGAAGAGCCCTGAATTAGGCATCAGGGAGCTGTGTGAAAAATATGTAAATCTAAGTCACGCTGATCGTGTGAATGGTACCTGGTGTCTGCATGGTCGTAATAACTGTTGTGGTGATGATGGTGGAGGTGGTGGTCTCGTCATCCAAATCCCCAGACATTGATGATACTTTTACAGCAACATCACTTCCTGGAGTGCTATGTTCTGCTTTGATTATTGAGGACTTTTCTTTCTCTCTTTTTACTGGGATTGTTGCATCTTTGGGCTTGCTGTTTAAGGTCGGAGTGACATCTCCTCTATCTGTCAGTTTGGAAGCAGGTGGTGCAGATTTGTGCACATCAGTGGTGGTCAGTGATGCTATGGTCACGGACAGGGGTGGTTCCTCCGTGCTTCTCCTCTGCGTTTCTGCTGAAGGTTTGTGTTGGATGTTGGGCACGTGTGGCTGGGTGAGGGCTGCGGCCAATGGAGCCAGTGTGGTGGTTCTGGGAGCTGCTACATCAGAGAATGGAGGCACATCCTCGTGTGGGACCAGCTGTGTGGACAGATCCTGAAGGAGATGGGAACTAGACGATGGCATTGTGGGATGGTGAGCTGCCCCTCCGCTGTCTTGAAAATACTGCTCGTGGCTTTGGCCCCGGGGGTCGTAAGGCGGGTAGGGCTTAAAAGGCGGATGGTGGTCGAGGCCACTGTAAGGGGGAGCCGTTGTGAACAGCGGAGGGGCTCTCTCTGTGTCCTGTGTGGTGTGATATGGATTGGACCCGTCCTCTGCTTCCACCTGTCCTCCTCTTTGGGTGACTGCTAACCTCCCATCCATATAAGAACCTGGAGAATACATTTAATACAAGCAGAGCTCATTATGAAATATATAGTGAGTTTAGAACAGTGATAATCTTGCCAAAAGCATAATTTCTGATGAAAATGTACATTGATGAAAGAGTTGACATTCTGAATTCATGGTAAATTCAACATCGTAAATAATCAATCACATTCATTTCTAGCACTTTTCATGTTGACCAGGTGCTTTACATTATAAAATCATATCAGCAACATTTATAAAACAACATATCCTAAAAAATAAAAGCAAAGTTAATTCCCCCATAAGCAACGGCAAAAAGATCAGTCGCTAAAACAGAAAATCAATAACTAAAGCATAAAGCAACACAGAAACCTCAAAGCAAATAGATAGTACTTAGTATACTCAAGCTACAAGTTTTTGTTTTGAAATGTGTTTTGTAACAGTTAGTGATATGCTCAGGTATATTTCCATAGAAGATCCATTTTAAATTCTCCAAAAACTTTTTTTGTGAACAGTTCTAAATTTTTATGGAAAACTTTTTTCAACTATAAAGAAACTTTTGTGCAGTGGAAAGGTTCCAGAAAGGTTCTTCATGGAAAGATAAACGGCAATAAAGAACCTTCATTTTTAGGAACTGATGGATAATTGAAAGCACAAAAAAGGTCATACAGTTTGAAAGACATTAATCATTCATTTTCAAATAAGAAAAAAAAGTACTGTTGTATGTTTGCTAAAATGTCACACATAAGTCCACGTTACTACCTATTCTTTGTAATTATTTGTGAAATTACTTGCAATTTCTGAATTTTTGAACACCATTTGTTTCAGTGTACCTATAGTCGATTGTAGGAAAAAGACGTGCAAATGCCTTCTATTCTTTGCCAGCAATGAGGTGCATATTGTGAATTACTCTCTAAGGCAGGGAAAAGACAATTTATGTCCAAATATATCAATTATAATATTCAAATATTTTTTGAATATTTTGGTGTGGGGACTGTCTCACTGCTGATGAAAGACTTGGAATGCCGTGGTGAAAACACATGAAAAGCATTAAAAAAGGAACAGAAAAAAAATTCCTTTGTAAATAACTTGCAATTTTATGTTTCAACCAGAGATTGTTGATAGAGAGGCCAAAATGTACCTTAAAATTTTTTTAATTCAGGTAAATCCAAAGTAAAACTGACTAAAATGAATAAATATGGCAAATTTTAATTATATTTTCATTAAAAAAACTAAAATTAAAAGCTGTAAAAATTAACACTGATTAATAACTACAATTATAACTTGAGTGTTCAAACAACTATAGTCCTTTTTTTTTTTTGCATATTTCAAAGACAAGCACCCTCCCTTGTGTAAAGCCTTGCAACAAATTTCCTCTCTATACCACCCAAGGAGAGGAGGACTGTGCCGTTTATACGGCTCGTGACGCTTTGTGGTTTACCCATACGAAATTGCAAAGCATTCAAACTGCGGGGTCAGAACCCCTAGCACATTAACAAAATGGAAAAGTATCCACTAAATGGATTATGATTGGAGACACTTTGAAAATGCTGTGGAGCGTGTGGAGGAAAAAAGATAAACTCCTTTGCCATAATTGTTCATTTGAATGCTCTCTCTCCTCCCCTTGCCAATTAATGAGTCCAAACCTTCATCAGGCGGCACGTCGTAATGAGTGGATTTGAGAAGTGTAGCGGTGAAAATGGATCTCCCCCACCTGCACCTGGTGAGATGTAATCAGCCGGCCTTCAGGAGACTGCTGCATGCCGGGGAACTTGTGATTTCACAATGCTTAATTTGCACCCTAATAGCTCTCTTTCTGTTTCTCGACTTACTAATAATAAGCTGCTTCCAACAATGGAGGCCGGTGTATCTGAAGCGCATTCCCACGAAAGGAAAGGAGAGGATGATATCTCAAACCGAACGGAACTGACGGTTTATTTCTTTCCCCTTATCCTCTATGAAGTGTCAGAAGCAAAAGATACACATCGTTTCGCCAAGCGGTGATGTGTGTTTTATGAGAGATTGACTTTGCTTTGAGGGTAAAAATCACATCGACATCTAACACATCACTCAGATCCAGGCAAAATGACACATGAGAGACAAAGCAAAGGGCAGGAAGTCCTCAGTTCCTGTCATCTATTTAGAATTCAGCCATTTGTAGATCAAACCCCAAAAGCAGACAGGATTTTTTTTTTTTGACGAGGACATCGAAACGCAAATAGCGTGAGCTCTAAATGTCAATCAGGTTTTGCTTTATGATTCATTTATTAGCTGTGCCTTTACATGAGTAATTATGAAATATCTGATGTCAAATTTCACGGTTGTTAAATTAGACAGGCTGAATGTAATGAATGTGCCTAATGTTATGAGGTGAATTATTATCCATTTCACCCTGAACGCGAACATTTCTGAAAAGAACCGCTCGCAGAAGTTTCTTGGGAGTTCCTGACTTATAAAAAGCTTCTGAAATCACTATGCATATCACACTCAATGTCACAGGGATTTCGTGTTGAAAAAAATCAGCATTCCCAAATGCTTCCCAGTGGAAGGTCCCATATACCCCCTACACTTCACATAACCCTAGCAGTTCATAGTCCAGGCTCCTCTAAAAACTTCAGGAAAGACCAAACAGACGTGGCGCGCTGAGGCAGGAGAGTGTTTGATTTGCTCCATTAGCGCTCGTGGAGTATAAACAGAATCTTTCAGACTGACTTCACTGTCTGTTCAAAGGTCCCTCAGTGCTGTGCTTTTCAATGGCTGGATTTGACTTTTAAATGACCATGAGCCTGCCTTAGAAGCTTTTTACACAAACCAGCGGGGGAGTGTGGGCTTTGTTTTACCCTCTATTGCATTTTCTCTTAACTTGCAAATAGGTATGTTCACTGAACTCCTATTTAAATAGCGACCCTTATGCGCGAAACACAACGAAGGAAGAATAACTGCAAATAACAGCTGGAGGGAGAAGTGGGGTGTCACTCATGTTTATGCAAAAAGTTGCCCTGAGACATCTGTAAAGAAGCACATCATTTACTAATCATTATTTATAAGAAGCTTTTATCAAGTGCTTTTATAAGTGACTTCCAGTACATGTATTACTTGGGCAATCCCTCTAGAGCAATCTGGGTTCATTGCTGCTTTCACAACCACCAAAAAACTGTCCTACTTTTGAGTTCATAAGTTGTCCCCAAGAGTTTTTGTACTTTAGGCACACCCCAATTCGCGTACTTGTGCACTAGTCTGGACATTTTTAGTATAAATAGTGTGTTCATTCTGAAAATTCCAAAAAGGAAATATGCACTTAATTAATAGAAACAAAGAAATGTAGAATGTTGGACATTTCATGCTCTCAACTGTTGCAGCATTACTTACATGCTGGAGGGGGTGGGGCTATTCATATACTACTAGACAGTGGTGTACATAGTGCATCATTTGGGACACAATATTTGTAAGCACAAATATTACACTGTGTTCTAACCAACTCTGACAGTGGTACACGACGAGCGACATGGAATTCTATTTTGGAAAAGAGTTTCAATTTCTGTGACGTTGTGACTGAAACAACAGCATACAAATTATGACAATGACAATCTCAGGTACTGAGTATGTGCTTTATTTAATGTTAAAAGTATCTAATGCGACTGCGAGTTTGTTTATTATTTTGCATGACCTTTATACTGAAAGCGATAATGTATAATATACCTCAGATCTTAAAAATAAATCAAAGCAAACATAAATGTTAAAACTGTAAACTCAAAGTAAACAAATGAGCGTATTCCATGACAAAGATTGTATCAGGTCACTCAGTGTGTGTTTTAATAAAGTTAAAATGGTTTTATATGTATGAATTAGATTATGTACATATTCATTTTGTGGCAAGTGCAGTGCGCTTGCAGACAGAGCCCGCCCACACTCTCTTCTGATTGGCTGTGATTTTTGATTGAATTCTCATTGAGTTGTGTCACATCTGGTGTGGACAGACAAATTGCTTATCACTGGAATCTTGTTGCGCCAAATCTGGTTAGGACACTGTGTTACAATTACACAAAAGACTTAAAGGGATAGTTCACCCAAAAATGGCAATTCTGTCATTAATAACTCACCCTCATGTTGTTCCAAACCCGTAAAACCTTAATTTATCTTCGGAACGCAAATTAAGATATGTTTGATTAAATCCAAGAGCTTTCTAACTCTGCATATTCAGCAACGCAACTACCATGTTCAAGGCTCAGAAAGGTAGTAAGGACTTCGATAAAATAGTCCACGTGACATCAGTGGCTCAACCATAATTTTATGAAGCTACAAGATACAAAAAATAACAACTTTATTAAACAATTTCTTTATAAAATGACGGTTGAACCACTGATTTCACGTGGACTATTTTAACTGTGGTAGTTGCGTTTCTGTCTATGGAGGGTCAGAAAGCTTTTTTACCAAAAAATATCTTAATTTGTGTTCCAGAGATGAACAAAAGTCTTACAGGTTTGGAGCGACATGAGGGTGAGTAATTAATGACAGAATTTCCATTTTTGGGTGAACTATCCCTTTAAACAGTATAAACAGATGCTTGCAACACCAAGGTCACAGGTTTGATTCCCAGAGAATGCATGGACCAAAACAAAAATGTTTGCCTTAAATGCCGTGTAAGTTGCTTCAAATGAAAGAATCTAACACGTACAGTTCATGACAAAATCTCATCATCTGATGATGATGAGATGAGGTCTATTACACATTATGTGTAATATGTGTAAATATGTAAACTTTATGAATCAAACTGATGTCATATAATTTATTATTCCTTTCAACAGAATTACAAATAAATAAATTGTACAACAATACAGATGAAAGATAGTCTTAAGGTTTATTACAGGTCTACAGGACAGAAGAATTGGAAACTAGACAAATGTTGTGCTAATATACTTGCTCTAGACTCAAATAGCAGCATCTAAGACCCATCAAGACATGGCTATTGCTTCATCTCCCAGAGTTCATGCATCAGATGTGTGACTGGAGGAGCCAGTGTTTGACT